GAACAACAGGGACTGCCCCGTAGCTCAGTGCATAAAGCTGGTTCAGTCCACATGGCTCAAATCTAGAAGGCATGAGTAGGATGTCTGCACCAACAGTTATTTGATGGGCCATTTTCACAGAGAAACCAACCCAACCCCTGACTTTGTCATGGTGTTGACTCTCAAAATGTTCGAGAAGCTGTTCCCGGTCAGGTCTCCCAGTGCCCAACATGACTAGTTGCATATCCTGGTCCACCATCCAAGGAATGGACTCAGCAATGAGATCAACACCTTTCTGATGGTCAAGCCTGCCAATGAACACAATTAGAGGAACATTCTCCCGAAGAGGAAGACCAAGCTCCCTTTGTAGAGCTGCTTTGCATTGAGGCTTGCYAGTCTGAAGAGTCTCCGCAGAGTAATTGGTGTAGCCCTCCAATGCCAGGTAAACATCAAACTGTGGGTTCCCTTCGTTTGCATCAATCCCATTCATGATGCCCTTCAGCTTCCAATCACACTCATTCATTATTTGATGCAGACCCCAGCCACCTTCTTTAGTTTCAGCTCCCAGGCTGCTGCTTTCAGGCCAGCTGCAAGGACATTGAAGTGTTCCCCACCTACTCGGTCATATAGTTTGAAGTAGTTTTGTGGAAGATCCACATAACGAAAATCGCGTACTGGACCACGACCCCGGTGTGCTATGTCGTGGATCACAGGAATGCACCGGGTATACTTACAGAAGAGAACCTCAAGAGCAGCCTTACCGAAGAAAACCATGCGTTTTAAAATATCCCCTCGGCCTCCCCCATATATATTTTTCTCAATATTACGAAACATAGGAATGTCCCTGAACACCAAATCCATGCCATCAATATAAGCTTGAAAGAAAGTTACCTCCCTATCCAGCCCATCCACCTTATATCCCTTACGCACTCCTGTTTCTTGGGCTTCTGCATAGTTACCATCCCCGGCCAAAGGACGAGACTTTACATTTTCATCCTCCGTGCACTGATTACGACAGAATTGCTCGCAGCGGTACAGCCATCCCAATGGGTCGCCGCTGCCGCTGTATGAGGAAGACTCCAAACGGCTATCCTTGGAAATTGATGGAGGGTGATTTGGCCCGACCTCGTAGCTCAGGTACACGTAGGCGTGACCTAGCTCAAACAGTGACTCAGCATGACAACACAATGGACGAGAGCACAAATCGGTGGGGAAGTCTCACCGAGTTCAGCACGGCAACTCAATAGGTAAACTACTCGTCGAAAGCCTCCTCGCCCGCACCTCCTCCCCAGGGTTAAGGGACTTCGGGGGGTCCCGAGTTCGGGGCACCCTGACCCCTTTTGAGACCCGAGCTCCTCCCAATGGACCTCGGGCCACTCCCAAGCAAGAACGCACCGATTCTTCTTCGGACGCCACGAGGCACAGGCCTCGAGTCGTCTAGCTCGGCAT